CTTTCATTTTTTTTTTTCTTTTGTCTTTTGTTGGTGACCCTTAGGTTGGGTCACCGTTAAATATATTCTTAGTAGGCCCAACCCCAAACGATCTACCCTACCATCTCTCGCACACAAACACACACACATACACAAACACACACTAATCACTCTCTTCTTCACGCGCGCGCACACACAGAGTTACAGTTCGCCGTCGGACGACACTAGCCCCGTCGCCGGAATCCTCATGACACAACCTGCCTTCGTCGCGCCCTTTAATCACTGTGTTCGGCATAACACTAATCGGCGCCCTCGCCCTCACCGCCACGCCACAGCCGGTGTCCAACATAACAATTGTCGATGATGTCTATGTGAGGAACCAGAATTTCGTGTTGTTCAATTGTCAGATCACGACGATGGCGATATACTACTGGGAGTTGTGGTCGAGGAGCTGCGGGGGTCGCTGGAGAGAGAGAGAGAGAGAGAGAGAGAGAGAGAGAGAGAGAGAGAGAGAGGTGACGCGACGGACGGGTGTTGCACAGCCAGATTTGGCATCGAACCTCCGATCAGGCATGGCGCCGATGAGCAGGTAAATTGTGGTCGACGGTGGGGCTGACGGAGGGTCAAGAGGAGAGGAGGTTGAAAGATGTTGATTTGGGGTTGGAGCTGATGTTTGTAAATTAGATGTTATACACTGACTTATTTGTAATTTTCAATAATTGTAACTATATTACAATTTAGTCGATGTGTTAAATATGTAATTTATAAAAAAAAAAATATAATAAATGCACAATAACGATAAATAAAGTGCACAACAAAATTTGCACATTAAGAATTCAAAATTATCAAGATGTCGGCGCACTACAGAACACATGATATTAGTTTTTGCCAACTGCGTTGGATATTTGTAGTTTATTTGCTACAGATGAGGCTTTAATCCGTAATTGTAATTGTTATTGTTCTTTTTTCGTTAGTTAGTAAACTAGGATTGTGCATCTCTAGAGTAGCGTGAATATAAGTTAAATGGTCTGATATTTCGGTCTATTGCTTAGACTAATTTATTTTCTTAGGAATTAATGCTGCTGGTATATTAAATCTAGAGAGCTTATTTCGAGTAAATATTCGTAAGAAGAATTCGGTTAACGGAGCTTAATGTTAGTTAGGGCCGGTAATTCATTAGCAATTTAAACAAGACGTCAAAATTAATTAACGATAGATTTAGATTTGGTGATAACTGATCCAGAATTCTAAATTTTCCTCATTTATTTTTTTCATTTTATTTTATTTTATTTTATTTCTTAAACTCAATCCCTCAATCTATTATTGTTTTCTTAGTTTTAATTCGATTAATACGTGAATTGTCACAATATTTAATTCCTGTTTCTCGTGAGGTCGACCCTTACTTGTCGCTAATATTACCCTTACTTGTAGCTACTACTAGTTGGTAGAGGCTCGTTGAAGAAAAATTTATAACTTTAAATTTATCGCGTCGCGACGCGCGGTCACATATTATGACCAAATAATTTTCTGTCGACTCTTCCCCCGAGAGTCGATGTTTTATACATGTGATCTGTCCGCAAGCTTCTTAACGTCTTTCATGTTTATGTCGCATGTAAAGCTGCTGCTGCTCATCAGGGACGGATTTACATATAGGCGAGCATGGGCAGTTGCCCAGGCTGAATTTTTTCGGCCAAAGAGAAGTTATAACAATTAATAGAACTATTGGGTAGAAAAGGGCAAAAAACCATAGCTGCGCGCAGGGAAAAAGAAGAAAAGTGATGCAGATTTTTTTATTTTTTTTTAATTCAGCCTATAAAACGACGTCGTTTGGTCTCTGTGTGGTTAAAAAAATAGAAGCCAAACAACGTCGTTTTATACTAAAAAGTAACAAAAAAAAGGAGTAGAAAAAAGATTTATGCCCCTACCTACACATTACGACGCCAACATCAAACACATTTTTTCACAACTCACAAGAACATGCCCCAACATACCAACCCCAATTTTCAAAATTAGGATAACCTTCACAAGATCCCAACTCTAAATTTTAAAATTGGTCGCATCTCGTCGAACGCCATCCAATTCTCATCCACCATCTTCGATTCTTCCGCTAAATCCGCTCTTCATGATCGTGAATTGAAAAAAAAAAAAAAAAA